CCCCACCCCCCCACCACCACCCTGCCCAGCCGTCTCTCACCAAACAGTGCTCCGAAGGCCAGGCCAGCTGTGCGTGAGTCAGAGAAGGCGACCAGGGCACTGAAGATGTCGGGGGCCCCGTTCCCAAAGGCCAGGAAGGTGACACCATGGGGAGAGGTGCGTCAAGGAAGATCAGTGCAGGGGTTGCTACCTGTGTGTGTGTGTGGGGGGGGGGCACCCATCCCGTACCCCCCCAACCCCCACCCTGCCCTCTCTCCCTCTGGGGACAAAAGGATACTGCCACGTTGTGGGAGAGCCCCAAGGTGGTGGAGATGGCGGACAAGTTGGGGCAGAAACTATGGAGAGACGCAAGCCGTGAAGTGAGTGCTGGCAGAGTTCAGGGTGCCCCAGCCCCACCCGTAGGCAGCCAGGCCGGGGGAGAACGCTCTCCTTCCAAGCAAGAGACCCGGGTTCCATTCCTGGCCAATGCACCACACGCACAGCCACCACCCACCAGCAGAGCCTCGCATGCTGAGCATGTTTCAGTGCAGTGCCCAGGCCAAGTTAGACTAGGAAGAATGGCCTGGCGATCTACTTCAGAAAATACTGAGCCAGTGGAAAATCCCAACAACCCAGTATGCAATCCATCATAGGGAGGGGGCAGGACCAGGCAGTATTGGGCAGGTGGGGGGGGGTCCCTTTGTGCAAGGAAGGGGTCACCAGGAGGCAGGCCCAACCCCATCCTTCCCTTACTAGGCAGTCAAATAGCTAAAGCTCTATAGAATGGGCCACACTCACAACTTGGCGGCAGTGACCCCCAAAATCAGGAACAGGTAAAGCAGCCAGAGAACCTAGTGGGAGGACCAGAGAGGGGCGGCAGTTGAGGGTCCGGCTGGGCCACCAATGCCTCCCCTCCCTCCACCCCTGGCCTCCCAATGGGCGGGGCCTCACATAGAGGGTGATGACCAGAGGGAGGAGGGGGTAGGAGAAGCAGCAAAAGATGCCTTCCAGGTAGTCCAGGTATCCCCCATCGCTGTGACAGTCAAGGTTGGTCCGGATGAAGGCACAGCGGTCAGACAGGTTCAGGCTACACACTTCCCGGCACTGCATGAGTGGGTTAGGGGGGATGTCAGGCAGCCGACTACAGATGACTGGGCCAGGCCCATCCAGACAGCTGAAGACCACCCCCATCCAGCCTGGTCTCCAAGCCCCTTTACCCTCTGGACACCAACTACGCCCTTGTAGACACCCACTCCCATCGAGTCTGTTTTGACTCCCAGCGACCCTAGAGGACGGAGCGGAGCCGACCCTGCGGCTTTCCCAGGCAGTAGATCATTACAGGAGTAGAGAGCCTCATCCTTCTCCCTCTGAGAGGCTAGGAGGTTCAAACCACCGACTTCGTGGTTAGCAGCCCGACTCGTAACCCACTACCCTACTGGAGCTCCTTCTATACAGCAGCACACAAACAGGAATAGAACGGAACCTGCCCCTTTAGCAGAGCCTCCGCAAAGAGAGAAGTCAGTGGTCAAGCCACCTGGAGGTGGGATACTGAACTGCTGCAAAACCCATGGCTCCTGGTGTACCCGTTAAAGTGGGGCATGACAACCTAAGACAGGAAATACTTGAAAAGAAAACCCAATCAAAATAAGCCGCCCTTATAACGAACACGTGAAATTCGTGAATGCATGCTTGCTGTTCAGAGATCAGGCCAGACTCTCCCTTGCCTCCCTGCCTCTGTCACCCCCACCTCTCTCTAGCCATCTTGCCACCATCCCTTTGAGGCACCCCCTCACAGACACGTCTCGGTTCCGTGACATTGGTGGATAAAACAGAGCAAATGGCTGTTGGATCGGTTTTGACTCATCGCAATCCTTACAGGGCAGGGTGGGACTGCCCCGTGGGTGTTCCAAAGGTGTCCATCTTCACGGGAGCGACTGCCACATCTTTCTCACCGGGACACAGGGGGTTTGAACCACCCCAGCTCTTGATTAGCAGCCAACTGCTTCACTGGGTGCTGCCAGGGCTCCTTACGTTTGTGCATGTCCCTCGAGGGGACACCTGTTGCCATCAATTCCAATTTACGAAGACCCCGTGTACGTCAGCGTAGAACTGGGTTCCAAGGGGGCTTTCAATGGCTGACGTGGTGAGAAATCGATCACCCCCTCTTTCTTCCAAGGTCAGCAACCTGTGTGTAAAGGCTCCCCAGCCAATGATGCCACTGACTTTGTTGGACAGAACTGGGTCCATCCTCGGTCTCTTATTTTGGCAATTTGCTTTTCCCCACTCTGTCCTTTGTCCAGGTTTTGCGGACAAGGCCCTGTGCCGGTGCACAGGAGGACACTGTTGTCAGCCACAATATACTGCGTGACCCCTAAGTGCCAGCCTCTGCGGCAGACCCTCAGTTTGGATCTTGGAGAATCTCCACAAGAATATGCCACCGGATCTGATCCTGTCACACCAAGGCAAAGCACTG